ATTTTTTGTGTAAATACACTTCAATATGATTGCGATAGCTAACGGTAAAGCTTTTTTTTTTAAGGAAAATAACGTTTTGTTGGCATTGAAAAATTGCAAATATGATTGCGTTGGAGATGCATTCTAAAAATACATTTGTAAGAGCTTATAGATGGCTCTTGCTAGGGCAGATTTGGATATGCAAAACATTTTAGAAATTTCCAGAACTGATTGTAGGAATGGTAAAGCTTTTTACGCAAAAATAAAATAAATATTCTATAAATTTTAAAACAGTGTGTAGTAGGTAGTAGCCACTGCTAGAAAGGGACACACTTAGACCACAAGCTGAAGACCCGTTATGATGCCAACGTCAATAAGTCTCTAATCAACGCTTTGCTCGATGATCTTTGCTCGCCGCTCCACTATGCGCTTAGCCTTAGATCTCAGACTGCAAGAAGCCCTTACAGTAGTACAGTAGAATTAAAGTTTCAACACAGCGGCCTGTATAATCCGGGATAAAGCTTTATTTTTTCCAGAATACAGCAGTGACCATGCAATTCCGATTCCCATTGCTGTGTCTCTATTAAACGAAACGCAGCAAGAGATGCCATCTGCTGACCCACTTCACCTAGTGGCACAAGAACGACATTTAAAGCATTATTTGGCGTTGTCCGGATTGCTCCGCTAATGCTGATCATACTAATCCTCTGTACTTTGCGGAGTAGATTAAGATCAGAAGCCTTAACCAAAGCAGCCCATCATACTACAACTGCATAAAGTAGAAACAGTCTAACGTTTGCTGTGTAAATCCAGCGGCATATACTCGGGCTCAGCCTTCATTTCCACGAATATAGGGCCACAGGCGCCTTCTCATATCGCTGGACTATGGTCTACTTCCAGTGCAGTTATCTATCGAGAATTACGGACAATACGAGACTAAGGATGTGTATGGAGAGTCTTGTCTTCAAAAGATATACAAAGCATATACGAAAAACAGCAAATCAAATTGCGGCTAAAGTCGCTGGGGAGCCATCAATCGTCGAGGGAGTTGGGAAGCCCAAAGCCACCTAGAAATAGGCCACTCATTCTGGACAAAGTGGATAAGAATTCCACTTGTGGTGAGCAACATCAAAGTAGGAGATTTAGGTAAACTAATAGAATGTGTTGACTGAACTGGCTTTAGAGTAAATCCAGAAAAAGAGAACTCAGTCTAGCTTTGAATTATTAAAGTCGAGCGAATTATCTGGGATTCATATAAGACCTTAGCTGCCTACAGAGGAGAGATTAAAGAAAACTAGCGTTATATATTTCAATAGTGGCTAGGAACAGAAGCCTTCAACCTAAATAATTTGGCTAATTTTTCGGATAGCCCCTTCTAGTTTAGCTGAAGCTGCGGAAAATCAAAGCAACGTGTTTAGAGTGCTGTGAGTTAAAGCAGGCTTGGTGAACCTTAATTCGTAGGAGGACTCTCTGATGTATATTTCACCTCATCTCAACAGCATACAAACAGTTAATTGTAGAAGTGTATCATCAAAAGTCATTAAATCAGAGCGTAATATAAAAGTTTCGAAATTAATGGAGCAAATTTTACTCCCCCAGTGTGGTCCAGGGGCACCCTGTCCTCTATTTTTAGGAAATTGATAGCGATTCCGCTCTGCTCTAGCTAAGAGGGATATCTCTTAGGCTGGCCTTCGTCTACATGCCAAACGATGTGGCAGATGCTATTCTTCATGGCTCAGTACGTAACGTGGCGACAATCTACAGAAACGGCTTTGTGTTGTATTGTGTATTATCAGAAGACTATTTCTTTGTTTAGATTTGATCTATCAGATTGGGTAGACGAAGA